AAGCATTTACTACCCTCCCTAGATCGTTTTTCGATATCCCGCGCATTTAACAAATCTCGCAAATTTGAATATTGCATGGCTATATCACAGTACTCACCTGTTGTATAGGCCTAATTAAGAATGATGTATATAGGCGTAATAATTAATGATCATCTTATTACGGACAGACAATTAAACTAGGGCCTAGTGCTAAGCCTAACCCCTTCCGAAACACGTACCTGGAACAATATTACGGCGTTTCACACTTTCACATGTCAGCCAAATGATACGGAATGGTAGGCCTGATCAATGGAGTAAAAAAAATTCCCTAACTATATTTAGAAATTATAATATTGAGGGCGTGATTCTTACATAGGCCTAATTCACTGGAATGTCACTATCTAATGGTGCTGGATGTCCTACAAAAAAATGATGGCAAAACGCGTGCATTTTGTTTGTGCTTGGTTTGTGAGAAACGTTCGTATCCCTGGCTATTGTCTGATTGGTCAAGGAAGTTTGATTGCACTTCAGAAAGGTCCCGATTATCCTAGCCCAGATATGTTCATAGAGATCTATAACTTTTTTTAGGCCTAATTATTTTTATTTATTTATAACTTATTTAGCCAAGATAACATTAGTAATATACATACCGGGGCCGCATATACTGTTTTTAAAATGGTCTTGGTTATGGTATAATAGCCCGTAATACCTCCATGCTATGTTCGACCCGCTTTTGAGAGGAAATTACATCTGCGAAAAGTTTCTCGTTGTCAAAGACACGATGCAAATATTTTTTTTTAATTCAAGTTAAATTTTAATTTCACAAGTTTAATTTCAATAATCCTATAATTCTTTATAAAAGTCAGTGGTGACGTCATCACTTTCATTTGCACTGAATTTTCCTTTCCCCGACTGATCACTTATCGGTTTTTATAGAATCTCTATCGGCGACACAGTCACCGACAGTTGTCGGGAATGTTGAACTCATGGTTCAACTTTGCCGATTGCGTTGCAGACGAATCAGGGTGCATTGCTAGCTGCAATTGACAATCGGGAATGCACCCCGATTCATGGCAACGCAACGACAATGTTGAAGCAGGTTATTCCCGACAACTGTTCAATTCAATTTTTCAATTCTCATGGTATTATTTATTCAAAAATCAGTGGCGTAACAGAGTGGCGTAACAGGGGGGGGGGGAGGACAGAATGCACCCCCCCCCCCCTTGACGGTTTTTACCGGGCTGACCAAGCCGTCGTACCGGGCTGGGTAATAAGAGAAAAAAAAGAGGGAAGAGGGAGGGAAAGAGAAAGAAGGGGAAAAGAAAAGGAAATGAAAAGAAATTTAAAGAGAAGACAAAAATATAGACAAGAATAAAAAGGAAGATATCATAATGACCAGAATCAGAACACCCTGCAACCCCTTCTCCTCTTCAAAAAATTTCCATAGCTTCTTTGATCAAGCCGCCAGTATTCTCCACAGTGGCGTAACCACCGGGGGACAAGGGGAAAATATCCATCTGTAGAAAATCTTTCCCCACCCATTGAAGATGCCCGTTTCACCCCCTGAAAGTGCCTAAAAATCTTAATTTCGCGCGCACTTGTTAAAGTATGCCTATTTCCCCTAAAAATTGCACATTTTAGGGAGTTTTTATCAATTCCGGCAAAATTAGAATTAAAAACACAAAAGTTTTTTGCGCGCTTCGCGCGCATTTTCTAGGCTATTTTAGGGTTGCCTTTTAAGTTATTTAAACACATAATAGTCCCAAACAATTTTGCGCGCTTCGCGAGCATTTTGGATGGTGAGAACTTGTGCTTGTCCTCATTTGCCTTCTAAGTTAATTGAACACATAATAGTCCCAACTTAAATAGAAAGAACATTTAAGATAGATCGTTTTAACTAAAAGAAGGGGCTCAATGTGTATTGATGTTGAAAGAATATGTGTATAATAAATAAAACCATGATGCAAATGCTTGTATTTAGTTTCAAACAAAAAAAATCATTATTATGAAAATTGACATTCAAATCTTTAATCCAAACAATGTCATAATTTATTATAGTAACAATTGCGACTTGGCCCTGCCAACCCTGAGCAGCCGTGCCCCAAATTATGTAGTTCCTACGCATGCACTAGAATTTTGCTAAGACAGAATTGATCTTTTCACCACAAAATGTTAATTTGTCTACAAAATGATAGCCTATGTTTGTAAGGACAGAATATTTTGTCGGATTAATGATTTTCTCTTAACGCTCGGCTTCAATAAAACTTTTAGTTCACTAGAAAGACGCACATCAGAAATTATATATATGAACATTTAATTTACTATAACTGTATATTTTATTTACAGATTCTTACTAAATACAAAACCTAATATTTGCATATTGAATGACAAACAAGTACATCATTTTAAAGTCTATAATTAATTATATTTACCTTTTTTGATGATTTATATATAATTTAACAGTGTACTTATATAATATATATATAATATACATATACATGATATATAATATATAATTTATAATATATAATATACTATCGCAAGACGATTTAGAGTTTATCTCTATTACGTCATGGTTTATTTATTTTAAAAAAGTCTCTCTTTGGAGATCTCGTCTTGTCGTCATGTTCATACGATGAATGAGTATCATATTTATCTCTGTGATTTGCCATGCATCAATGACAAGTGTTGTCTAACTACGCATGTGCATGAGTGTAAAAAAGATTTAAAGATTTATATGCTTTAATCGGATTCCCAACAAAAGCGTCAATGTAAGGCGTCTGGCGTAAGAAAATAAGATAAGAAAGATAAGATAAGATAAGATATTTGTGGAGAGTATGAAAAAATACAAGAGTAAAGATGATGAAATGAATAAGAACATGAGTTAAAACTATAACTCAAATAGTGTGATGTGGAGCTTTGAACGACTGTCAAACGTACAGATCAACATTCAAAGATTTGCACAATTGTATCATAAAATATAATGTGCATCGGAAACAAACACAAAAATGGTTGACGTATTTCTAAACAAAAATAGTTCATTTTAACGAATTATGTCGTCCTTTTTCTAAGGTCTTCGTTAGCGTAACTAAATTACAAATTAAGTTTTCAAGAAAAAGACAAAACATATTCGTTAAAATAAAATTTATAGGTGTTTTATTGTTTAATCGGTGAACACAGAAATTACATATAGGTGATAAACTCTAAACCGTCTTGAAGAATGCAATAATAACATTCATTTTGAATATTAGAAGATTTTGTGAGTGTAAATCAAAGTTTGTTAATTCGAGCATACTAACTTCTGCTGTCTACCAGCCTTAGGCCCAATACAAAAAAATATTAGTTCTTTCTGCTGTCTACCAGCCTTAGGCCCAATAAAAAAAATATTAGTTCTTTCTGCTGTCTACCAGCCTTAGGCCCAATTTAAAAAAATAGTTTATCACCTTCGTGCGCATGTCTTATGGTACTAAAAAAAAATTTGAAAAAAAAATTGATTTCTTTTCTTTTCATTTTTTACAATTAAATAGTATATATTGTTTGTATTATCTCAAAAATGTTTCACTTTAAATATCAATGCACCAGCAAACAACCAAAAGAGTGATATTTGGCTTTAGCAAAATAAAAAAAATAAATAAATAAAAGCCTCTCTCCCTCATCACTTTTCCAGCCTATAAGGGTGATAGATTAATAATCATTTTAATGAGGCCTTAACCAAGTTAACTATTACACACATACCCCCACCCTCCACATTGTTGTTGTTGTTATTATTATTATTATTATCATTATTATTATTATTATTATTATTATTATTATTATTAGTTCAACATTTTTGATTTTTATATTTTAACCTTTTTATTTTTTTAACTTTTCAACTTTTTAAATTTTTATCTTTTCAATTTTTAAATTTTTGAATGCTTTTGTTTACCTTTCTAAAATATGTATCCTCCATTTAAAAACTTGTTTGATGTTTGTTAATGCTGTTTATTTTTATCTGAGATTCCATTAAAAATGTGCCATTACTTGGCAGCTTTATCGGCCATCCTGGTTCTGGCATTCTTTCCGTTTACTTTTAGGTTTTTACTGTTTAAATCGTTTTATTTTTGCATTGTGCAACCATGTCTGTAATGTTTTGCGTTTTGGAGTAACTAATAAATTTCAGCTCAGTGTAGTACGTATCAATATTCCTATACTGTAGTTGGAAGGTTTTGTCAAACTATATACATTGCTTACTTAAACAATGAGTTTAGGAGAATTTTACAATAGAAAGATTGAAACCAAGAATGTTTTCCCTTACTTTTTAGACTGCAAAATCGTACTAATATGTAAGTGTTGTCAAGCAACCACGATAAATAATTTACAATTTTCGGGCTGCATTTATTACTTATTTTCCAATCTTGCGAGAAACAATAGTAAGCTAATTTATATATAAAAGACTTTAAACAAATAAGAAAAAATAATATAATTAAAATAACAATGATTTAGCTAATTTAATTCATAACTTATTAGTTTCCAATGCTGGCATTAATTTTTTTTAGAGTCTATGAGATATTAACAGCAGTGCTCAATGTTCATTTGATTAGATGGTCGATCAATTTGACATACCATTATACTGTATGTCTACTAACGTTAGTGAAGAGTAATATAAAATTATACTGGTTGAGAAGATGCTTAATTGATTGGTTGTTTGGTTGGTTGACTGATTGATTGACTGAACAATATTGATTGATTTATTGACGGATGGATAATCCATAATTATAATCATAGTGGGTAGGTGTTAAATATGAATGTATTGACAACTGCAAATTAGACATAAAGTAAACACAAGGAGGTTTGTGATCGGACGCATGTCAGCACGCGATGATGGCAGAGAGGCTGTATCTCCAACTTGAGGGCAAATTCCTCGTCCTGAAAAATCAAACATTTCCAATAATAAGTGTAGCTTTAAGATTAGGGCAATAATTGTTCATAGGTTGCTAAGATGCGTATGAATTCGCTTAAGGCATGTTTTTACACAATTCTCTAAATTCATATTTTCAGTAAACCTTTTACAAGAGCTTCTCGACCTCTTTAATGATGTAATGAGTTTCTAGGCCTACCTGGTTGATTAGTGGCCGTGTCCTCTTTCGACGATGTTCTTGTGTTTGTTGAATCTAATACATGAATTATAAAGTGTACGATATATATATGATTATAATATATATCGTTGAATTGCTCATATAAAGAATCATATAAGTCATCAACTTAAAAATAAAATAGGTCAAAAAAGTTTTCAATGATTTACAGAGTTTTATCATGACAATCTTTAAATTTACTGCTAGAAATAAAGTTTAAGCAATGCATAAACAATAGAAACAGTATTGAAACGTCCATAGGCCTTCATTAGGAAAGACAATTTGTTCTGGTTCTATTTTTAAGCAGATTCAATTTCAATTTTCAATTTCAATTTATTCATAATTTTATTGGCAGCAAAATTGCTGAATTACATTAAATTTACAATAATTTATTACAATTAAAATCGTTTCTTTAACACCAAAGGACCAAACAATAAAACCGATACAATTCAAAACACACTACGAAGAACACTTCTGATTTTAGAATTATCAGGTACTGAACGAAGAAATGACATGTAATAAAATAACCTAATAACGTATCGAAATACACAAAGTAATCAGTTTAATTTAAAATAAAATACTTAGGTTTAGGTTTATTTCTGCCTATTTGATTTACTGTATATTGCATATTATAGCTTTAAACTACTGCCACAAAGGTAAAAATTTAGATCTGTAATTTGGAGTTGTAGACTATTGTTATTATGTCAGCGTCAGAGCCTGTCAAATTCTGCTTATCGGTATTTCAAAAACATCTCCTCAGTTTATTAGATTTTGTTCAAGTTTCCTTGGTTAAAATATGATTTTTATAGGATTTTTTTGGCAGTTTGTTTCGTAATAAAAGCATTCCGTATAATGATGATAATGATATTAATATTAATACTAATATTAATATTAAATAAGCAGACATATAATGTCCTACCTACTGCTGTGACAAAATACATGGGGATGGACTCATCGCTTTCTCCAAAATCGTTGAAAGTTGTAACAGTAATTTTATAACTCCAGTCAGGGTGAAGGTTTTCAATGTAGTATCCATAAACGAAGGATTTAAATGTAACAACGTCTTTACTTATACGCTTCACTACCTGCTGGCCTTCCTAGTATTAAACAAATATAAAAGGAGCATGTTTTACATGATGAATCACAAAGATGACTACCAAAATTGTGACTGACACAACTTAGTTAATTAACTCTTTAATTTAGACCTGATAAGTAATTATTGAATTGTGCTATAATTTATTATATATAAACATATATATATATACATATATATACATATGTATATATATATATATATATATGTATGCATGTATATATATATATATATATATATATATATATATATAATTGTATAGGCCTAATCATAAAATCACGTTAAAAAAAAGAAAAAAGAAAGACCAGAAATGATGTGCATACAATAAAATATTGTGACGTATTTACCCCTGTGTCCCAAATGTATTGGTATTTGATAATGAATCCATTTATTGGAATTGTGTTTCCATTACTTTCTTCTCCTTTACGCGATGCCCTCCATCGCAATAAGTAACGATTCGGCCATTCGCCAACTGATGATCCAACTATGGTAGGCATTATTGGAGTCCCTGAAACGGTAAAGATATAGTATACAGTTATGTAACTTTCGTTAATTTGAAAGATTTGGCCATCAATTCGCCATAGGAATTGGTCAACTAAAGAGTAATGATACCATACAACATCAGCAGCAATATCAACTACGCACCCCATAGGTGTGAAGATCACATTTTCCTATTAAAATTATTTTAACCTGTCGCTCCAAAGAAGAGAAAAAAAATCCCTTAGCCTTCCTAGACTTTCAAAAGGCCTTTGATAGTATTTGGCGAGATGGCCTTCTCAAAGCAATATGGGATGCTGGTAACAGAAGAAAGATTTGGAAAAGTATAGATGATTTATATGATGATGTGAAAGCAAAACTGAAAGTTGGGGATACACTAACTGACCCGTTTGTGGTTAATAGGTGTTAAACATTGCTGTGTTTGTTTTTTGTAATATCTTCATCAATGAACTAACTTCTTCGTAATAATAATAATAATAATAATAATTGACACGTCAGCATTGATGTTCGTGTGATGACGTAGCAGGCTATTGTATATGGGTGGTAGCTCATATCCGCAATCTCGGGTTAATGATGGCGTTCTCATTTTAATTTCTATAGCTTCTTTTATTTTCCTTCTGAATGAATTAGTTTCTTTAGTTAGTACTTTGATTTTATCCCAAATAATGTTATGTCTAGTGATTTTACAATGTTCTGCTACCGCTGAAAGTATTTCAACACGTTGATTTACATGTTCCTTGACACGTATGTCTAATGATCTTGCGGTTTCTCCGATGTACGTTTTTCCGCACGTATCACATTCAATTTCGTACACGACCCCGCACTATTTTTTAACTGGGGTTGGGTCCTTGGGTTTGACCAAAATGTGTCCGCAGAGTATTGAAAGGTTTATAGTAAGCTGTTACTCAGTTTCTTTTGTAAATTTTATTTAGGGCTTCCGATGTTCCCTTGATATATGGGAGAGCAAAAAGAATTTTCTTTTCATTTTCATGAATTTCGTCTTTATCCGTTAATTTTACTTTTTTGTGGGACTGTAATAATTCATGAATAATGCCACAACAATTTTGAATAAGTAAAACACTACGAGGCATTTAATAAAAACAAACAACAACCTCTTTAATCGTGCTGATCGCGGGCTTATAATGAGCCCGATCGTATAACAATAGCAAACATGTTTCGGGGATACTATTCCATCATCAATCTAATATACCAAATTTTTCCAAGGTTTATATTCTTTAGAACACGTGTATGAAAATTGACATAAAATAATAATAATAATAATAATAATAATAATAATAATAATAATAATAATAATAATAAGGTATTTTATTTATATTGTGCCTCTTCCAAAAAAAATGTTCAGAGGCTCATCACAAAAAAATCTTTAAAATATGCCAAATGGTGGAACAAAGTTGATGCGTTCCACAGAAAACATCTAAGAATAATTCTGAAGATATTTTGGCCTCAAAGAATTAGTAATGTAAACTTGTATAAAATTACCGCCACATCCCAATTGTCAAAAATAATTGAAAAATCACGTTGGATGATGTTAGGTCACATAGTTAG